AAGATTACTGTAATTGCAATTCATATATTCCCAACTCCAGAATTATGATTTCTTACATGTGTAGGAGAGTCAGGAAGCATTGCCTGGAAACAGCTTTTTACACTGTTTTTTGGGGGATGGAAATAGGGGAGGAGACTGTCACAGACACTGTGCAAAAAATATGTGCTTTAATCAAAGAGGAATATTTACCAAATAACCATCAAGATAAACAGTCCAAAGATTAAAAAGTGACAAAAATACCTGGTATGCTTCAGCAGCAGATGACAACACCTGTTCAACAGCACCATCAACAAAGACTCCCTTCTTGATGTGTTCTCGGAGAAAGAGTCCAGCTGAAGCAGAATCTAGCAAGTCAAATATCTGTTCATTGTAGATTTCAATAAATGAGCATTTGCAGAGAAAACTCTTTCCACTGCCTGCCTGGAAAACACAGCAATTTACACTATAAACACATTGCTTTTATTAAGTTTGTCACTGTATGGCAGCGAGTCTCTTTTTACACATATCTAAAGCTAATAATTTGTATTTATATTCTGCATACTATCCATTTGTGATGCTTAGATGACAACCAACATCCAGAAACCTAGATGCATTTTCAGACTCAATGTGTCTGAAGAAAGGGTACTATAATTTGGCAGAGTACTAGATGCAAGCATTTCTTACTAATAAACTTGATGCAAGATGGCAATAATCCTGAAAACTTAACCGCTACGTCCCCAACTTATCAAACAGCCTTAGCCAATCTTTAGTATAAGACATTACTTTCATTGCAATAATAAGTATAAAATAAATGTACCTTTTCTTTTTCACGTTCAATTAGAAAAAATAAGTATTCAAAGCTCCGTGGAATGACACCTCTTAGACTGTGAGTGAAATTATCCGAATCAGATGGTCCTACAGAGATTTTTAATTAAAAAAATAATTAATTAGTACTACTCAAGAGTAATGGTTGACCTTTTCAAGATGTCATTACAGAAAATTTCAGCAACTGGTTTTAGTCAGTTTACAGTAAAACCACAGAAGAAATGCAATAAAATCAGTTTTCAAGATCTAAGATAACACTCCATAATGAGACGTATAGGTTGTCTAAATGATGTTTGTAAAAGCTTATTTTACCTGTCTATAGGTTACCTAAGCCTAAAACAGGATAAACTACTTGGACTTCCATAGAAAACACATACAGATGTGCAAGTATGTCAGTACAGCTACCTTAACCCTGATTTGAAGAACCAGAAAGATAGGGTGGATTTTTCCCCCGTGTTTAGTTAATTTCTACATAGTCCTCACAAACATGTCAGCAAAACTGGTTTTGGTTATTTCAGTAACTCTCCAATGTCAAGTACAATATTAATGCATTTAAAATCACCACTGTATGAAGAACAAGATTACAAAAGCATCCCCTGTGTATACAGAGAAGTCTTAAATTCCTAGCTGGGTAGGAAGAAGTTTTGTGAAAACCTCACTATATTTTAGTAAGGAAGACCCTTGCATACTAGAATATTTTTCTACACATGCAAGGGATATCAGCCAAACAGGGAAACAATAGAATACTAATTTTTGAGAAAACTTATTAGAAGTGTTTGATTTAGACGACTACACCATTTCTTAAACCTTAAAGTTCTCTGCAGGAAGACTAAAATCTAAATCATCCCTCATGTTTGAGCAAGATGACATTTCAACTCAAGAGAAAAAAAATATCAAGAAACCACTGAAAGATTAAGCTCTCATGCACTTACCCATCATCGTAAAGGTTTTTCCTGACCCAGTCTGGCCACTAACAAAAAAAAAAAAAAAAAAGAACAAATTCAGACAAAGCTTTTTTATTCCAGCTCTGAATTTTTCACTAATCTGCATCTTTTAAGAACTCACAGTTTAAAATGAAAAAGAACCCAAATTATTCTAAACTCAAAATAAAAAGACAGAGAGGCAAGCTGAGAAATCAGTCAGCTAAAAAGGTATAAAAATAGAACAGCAAGTTTAACCATGAAATTCTGTTACATAAATGACCTTTTCTCTCCCCTGCCACACATCATTTTCTTCCATATTTCATTGTAAAGGAAAATACTGAAACTTAGATTAAAATGAAGGTTTTCAAATATATACATTAAACTAATTTTTGGGTCAATCTTTTGGGTTTTGTGTCACTCAGTAGCACACTTAAACCCAAAACAAGGAAAATACTTTTAAGTTGAACATATCTTTAACCACAGTTATTAATCATGCTAGAGACATTTAAGGGCAATTGCACTTCATTTTCCCACATTTGTATATTGTAACAAAGTAGACTTCCCTTCAATTTTGCAAATGCTTAAATGCTTTCAAAGCTTACTGTAACGTTAAACAGGCTCTGGCACTTAAAACCACAACTACTCATTATCACAAATTCCTCAAGTGTTGCAATTGCTACGAAATACCATTAAATGACTTACTATGCAAAGATGGTTCCATTGTAGCCATTCATACAAGATTCAACAATATTTTTGGCCACACTTGAGAACACCGATTCCTGAGAACAAGAGAAAGAGAAGGCACTTGGCACCAGTCATTTAAGTACCTCTTCTATCAGTGTTTTCTATGCCATAACTTTATAACATATAAAATAGATGTATTCTTTAAGGTTAGACATGTGTCATGACCTCAGGCATTCTCACAGTAAAACAATACATCCCAAGTCTTTGTGACATAAATCACTCCTTCTGAAAAAAAAATGATTCCTTGTTGATAACTGAAAAAAAAATAACAAATCTCAGCATCCTAGTAACAGCTTTCAAATTATATTGAGTCCACAAACTTTAATTAAAGAAATTAATGGTTTAAAAATACATTAAAACTATTAGAAAGCAGAATTTAGTGCAGCATTTTTATACAATAACTATATATTACCAATCTGACCTCCACAAAAAATAAGACCTAAGGCATTACATCTTTAGAAAGGTTTAGTGTAGCAGTTGTCAAAATGCAGGGAAGAACTACAATACCATTATGAGATTCTGGAAGTTAGTACCTGTGTTGTTTCCATATTTGCAACATAATCAAAAGTGAAGATCTTTGGCTCAGGCTTTGAATGCAGACGGATGGTATTTGATGAAAGAACAGATAAACACAAGCCTTGATCCCCATCGGCTAACACAGTTCCCTCTGAAGGGGGACGTACCCTTACATAGACTTTGATAGCATCACCTTCAACACTAAATGAATAATTATGCATTAGATCACTTCAAAATAGATCTATCAGCTGTTTAATAAACTTAAATCACAAAAATCAGATTAAGCATGTGAAGTCATACAAAGATCTCTCCTGAAAATATACTACTTCTAGCTGCACACATCAATTCATTACAAGTCAGATTTATTAAAGGTAACAATGTGGCAGATTTAAAAACAAAGAACACGAAGATACTGGCATTTATTGCCGTTGCATGTAACTTAAGCTCTAAAAGAACACATTTCACAGTGACATTTAGATATAAAAAACACTATAATAATAAAGGTTTCGGTAGTTTCTAAGACTATGGGTTTCAAGCATCCTTTCTACTGCTGGAAGTTTTAAAAGACTTCACAAATGGAGCAGATGATGCTACATTACAGCAAGGAAGTTACTAGCATTTTTCTTTGCTGCTTGCAAGAAGGGAAAGATCAATTCTGGATTCATGAGTCCAATAAAGTATAGCAGCACCAACATCTTAAAAACTCCCTAACCTATTTCATCACATTAGCAGTGGGTGCACCAGTAAATTTAGCTTGAATAAGTAACCACGCATGACTATTAAAGCCTTGAGGAGTTCTGATATAAGTACCAGTACAGCAATATTGTATTAAATAATTAAATTCCTACATGAAGGGGCAGCAAAGTTCAATTTACTTCACTTCGTTCTTTCCCAAAAGGCAGTTATAGGACAAAGGTGTTACAACTGTTATTGGTTTTTTACTTTTGGTAAACAAGAGAAAGGAACAGAATAGTTTTAAAAGCGGGGGAAGGACTTCATGACTGAAATGTGGGTTTGGGGAGTGGTAGAGGAAAGGGTTAAAAAAGAACAGGAAACAGATGAGAAAGCAAAGATGTTACATGGAATTTAAGACACAACTCATAAACTTGCTAAATATTTTATCATTAGATAATATTATTCTGAGTTGCATCAGAAACTGTTTCGATTGTAAGGAGGGCTTTCTGGATTTTGTTGTAGCTTAGGAATTGAAGTTCCTCATAGAATATCTCTTCAGAGAAATTCTAGAGTCCATCAGAGTCAGTAGACAGGTGAGAATTTACTGCACGGCAGCATTCCAAGAGGAATGTGATGCCTCAGAACACCACTTTTATTAAGAGAACTTTTTTTAAAAAAAAACTATAAAGGAAGTTCAAAGAGAAAAGCAATAAACTTGTGTAGGAAAATGTAGAAAGAAAACAACTTTAAATGGTGTTACAGAGTTATACTGGGTTTTGTTTGCACTTTTTGGGCAATGCGATTATTCATATATGGGAACCAGCCAGTAGTACTTCACCTAGATGAGTTCAACACAGGTAATGCAGAGTCACGTAAATCTCCTATAAAATAAAAGTGAAACACACACAAATTAAACAAGATAAAATTACTGCTCAAAACCCCCCCATTTAACTAGAAAATACTGTAAGCAGTGCAGAGCGAGATAAATGAAGAGCCTTGTTCATGCATGAATCAGAAGTGCACACAAAGGTTTAGTAACTGTCTTCCTCTGACAGAAGGTTTGCAGTTTTTTGCAAAGGTAGAGGAAGTTCCAGTCCCGCAATGTGAGCATACACACAGCTGTAAGTGTATGTGGAATAAATAGTCTCTTGAATTAACATATATAACGTTTTGCAAGTGTTTTGGAGAACTGGGAACATAAATGTTAATAGCGTGATATATTGCCATTATGTTTTAAAAATTACTAACTCACTGCAGACAAAACAACAATACAACAGGAAACAGTTTTACTGACGTGACTGCAAACATTCAATTTCCTAAACCTGCACAACTGAGTGACCACATTACTGTCCCTTTTCTGAAGTAACATTGACCACTCTGTACACAGAAGCATCATTTTGCACAGCTTCACTTTTAAAGGAGATGGCACATGTTACCCCTCCGGTAGATACAGTAACTTATTTTTCACTTAAGGGGGGATTTAAGATGAAATTATTTCACGTAGGTTAGTCAAAATGACTGACTTTCCGGTAACCGTTCTCAGCTCCCGTTTTAAAGGGCTGCTTTCACTTTAAAGTTTGTAAGAGACTACAAACTCCCTTGCTAATTAAAACCCGACAAAATCACAGGAGACGAACTCACCTCGTACGCCGGGAGCCATGATCGCCACCGGCCCCGCGGACCCCAGCGCCTCCCCCTCACCGGCCGCTTCTCCAAAATGGCGGAACGTTTGAATTTGGCGCTAAGAGCCGCAAGCTCCCTAGCCCCGCCCACTTCCTCAAAGCCAGCGTGGGCGCGGCCATGTCTCTCTATATCCCGTTTCCCCGCTCCGCCTGCTCTCCTGCCATTGGCTGAAAGTGCCGTCGCCCCCTTCACGTGACGGGGAGAGAGGAGGTGATTTGTCCTATTAGGGCCACCGTCCTGCCTGCCCTGCTCGGCCCGGAAGTGTATGGTGGAGGTTGGTGGAGGAGGTGGCTGCGCAGCTTGGTGGCGGGCCGTGGCCATGAGCAAAAGGAACCAGGTGTCGTACGTGCGGCCGGCCGAGCCCGCCTTCCTCAGCCGCTTCAAGCAGCGGGTCGGGTACCGGGAGGGGCCCACGGTGGAAACCAAGGTAACGGCCTAGGCCCCGCGCTCGGCGGAAGCTGGAATTTGAGAGAAAAGTAAATGCAGTACAAACTCTTTCACTTCTTGAGGGAGACTGTTGTGTCTCTGTCTTGGTACCTTCAGTAGATCATGGTAATACTCTCTATACTTTTCCTTATAAGAAAAAGTTTTCAGTTCCTATAATATTGTTAGACTTTATGTTACTGCACTGAGGTTTCCATGCCAGCAAGTTTATTTATATAAAGTTTTATTCCCAAAGATCCTTCTGTCTCAGAGCCCAATGCTGTTTTGAGTAAAGCGTAGGAGATTCGAATCTGGACCCATGCCTGTAAGATTTTCCTAGTGTTGTGTGGCAGGCAGTGCTTGTACAGTAAAGATAATGAACAAAAGGAATTAATTTCTTACCTTCTGAGTAACTGCTTTTTTGTCTTCAATTTAAAGAGCCGTACTGGTATTTTTTAGGGAACGGTATGTCTCAGTGACAGAACTGGAGTGCCATTTGGCCAGAGCGTGCTGGGAGGGCCTGGCACTGGCAGCTGTGCCAGGTCTCCTCACTAACCGTACTGCAGAAGTGAAGCCAACAAGTACTAGCCCACCCTTGGCTGTTGTGGTTTAATGTGGTGATCAGAATTGCTTTTATTTCCCTCCTGTCTAGAGAGAGCAGCTTCCGCTTGCAGATGATGACAGTGAGAACGGCAGTGACAATGAAGATGAGCAGCCTCAAGTGGTAACACTGAAAAAAGGGGACTTGACTGCCGAAGAAGCCATGAAAATTAAACAGCAAATGAAAGAGGCCTTAAAGTCAAATGAATCAGGTGAATTTCAAACTACTAATTTCTTGCTTTATATAGCCAAAGAAAGATAATCCATTAAAGGGAGCTTGATATTTGCTCAGTTTTACACCATTTAATACTACTTTGATTATTTGCTTTGAATTTTTCAGCTAAATGATTTGTATTTGCGATTCCTAATTTGAAATCGTTGAGTACATATCCAAGCTTTCTGGCTTTTTATAGTGTTGTAGTTCTGGTCTTCTTGATTGTGCATCATCCTACTTCCAAATACCACCTTAAATCTTTCTTTATTTTCACTTTTTTTTTTTTTTTGCCTTTTTATGGTGTATCATTTTCCTAGTACACAGACTTTTTGACATCACCTGTGATAATTTTTGAACTCATTAATTAGTTCAGCCAGATTTGACTGTGGAGTAGAGATGTCTAAAATGTAATTGTACGAGTTCAAGCAGAAGAGTGAGCAGAAGGAGGAAACTCAGGTTAGTGCTTCGGTAGAAAGAATGGCAGGTGTGCAAGCTCAGTAATGTGTTCACTTAACTGACTGGTCCGTGTTACTACTTGTTTAAAATCAGTGTCATACTGGTCAAAACCAGTATGTGTTGTGACTTGCAAATATATTAAGCAAAACTAAATGGATTAATTGAAAATAACAGATGATACAATTGTATCAACAAACAGCAAGGTATAGAAAAAATATTTCTTTGCTACAAATAATAAGAAAGCTTAACATAAGTTATTTAACAGTTTTTAAAGAATGGGAAGATGGAAGTGGTGTGGTAGAGGTTGCTGCAGTTAGCCAATAAAGACATGAAACTATAGTTGATGAATACAGTTATGTTAAGAACTTCTGTCAGTAGTTGTCATTCAGCTATGGTTGACATAAATGCTTTGGAGTCCAAAACCTTCCATCATCATACAGAATGTGGATGGATTGTGTGGGAAAAGTTCTACTGCTCACAGTCTCTTCTAAGTTAAAGCTCTGGTTAGTGCGTTTCCAGTCGGAACTGCAGGAGAACTGTCTTCAGGGGCTGGTTGCCATGGAGCAGATGTGTGTTCATGAAGGACATTAATCAGTACAGACTTTGTGGCCAAAACATACATTTTAATGATTGCTTTATTCTATCAGAGGTCTTGCTTATCTTGGTTCTGGGGAAAAAGAAAAGATAATAGTGAAGGTCTGTTTGTGTTTGTGAGCATGTCCAAATGAGTTCTGATTTTACTCGCTTTGTTACAGACGGTGATCCAGAACCTGCTGATGGAAAAATTATGTTCAGGAAACCAGTCAAACGTTCATCAGAGAAGCTTTTGGACTTCAATGTAAGTTCAAGTAAGAAGATGAAAGAAGCAAAGAAAACGAAGAGAGAAGCAACTACTCCTCCGAGTACAGCTAAGCAAATAAAAAATAGCAGTCTTCTCTCATTTGATGATGAGGAAAATGATGATTAGGATTTGTATTTTTTAATATTTTACTTACCCTTCTAGGGATCTGAGTAGGAGTGTTTTCCTAGAAATTGAAGAATGGTATCTGAGTCTTCTCTTACTTTGTTATAGTCCAACTAGGGAAACATAGTATAAAACTAGCAAGATCTGTCTTTGCAGTTCAGATGGAACTGTATGAACAGGATGTCATGTCTTTATTTTAAAAGAGAGTTTCACCATGTGTATAAAAGCTATTTGAAGTCACTAAATGAGTAGCAAAATACACCTGTACATATCCAGCTTATATAAATTTTCAATCAATACATTGCAAAATGTCCTCCATTACTAAAAATGTATTTCCTCTCTCTTTACTGGCCTTAGTTGACAGTTGTGTGTTTTTTACCTGTTATTGTTGACTTGACATTCCAAAGAGAGAGACTTCATTGATGTGGACAGAGACTGAGATTTTCTGCTTCATAGCTTAACGGAAGTTTGCACTCACTTTTGTGTGTGTGGTTTGGCAGATGAGCTCTTTGCAGAGCCCTTGCAGCATGTGAGCCTGCATCCTGTCTTTGGTGAATGCAGTCTAGGAAACATCAAATTCATTTGAATTGATTGTGCTAGCAAGATATAAAAATCTTGATTGTAGTTGATGGTCTCAACTAATGCAAAAGAAAGATGCCTAAACCCTTGGAGAGTGTGCACTTTGGTTATCGCACTGATGAGCTCATTGGTTTGGTGGTGAGTTTTTTTGGAAGTATGTTTGTTCCAGTTGGCTATATATGTGTTCATAATTATTTGGGATCTCAAACAGCTTATTTTAAAAAATGTATTTTATTTTTAAGCTGTGGAAAAGCATTATTGTGGTTTTCTTCAAGTAGGAAATGGTAAACAGGAAATTTAAGTCAAGAAATGTTATAGCTGTGATACAAAGATTTAAAATTCTTCAGCTGTCCATGTACAGCACTGGAAGTGACCATTTCTGTACCATTTATGTAACAGGATGTGCTGAAATTCAAAATAACACTTGAGAGCTGATAGAATTGTGGAGAGCAAGGTGGTGGAAGTGGGACTAGTGACTTTGAAATTATTTGGAAGTATGGTGTGTTCTGTAACCATATTTAAGCAAGACTTGAGACTGCTGCAGGATTACAGGGTACAAGGCAATGAAACCAGTTCTGCTGCATAACAGGACGTTCAAAATTATTTGCGCTGTAAAGCTTCATTGAGGAGGAAATTTGAAGCTGCTGTGTGAAACAGCTGGTTTTAGTTTGTTAATCTGGTATTAAACAATAAATTATGTTTTCTATAAGTGGTCCAAAGATATTTTAATGAAAATTGCAGTGCATAGAATGGGATTTTTTTGTCACCTGATAATGAAGCCTCTTGCAACTGCTGTCTCTGTACATGCCATCTTCCTGCAGCATATGATCAGATGCGAGTCTGCATACTGTTTCACACTAATTATGTGAGTGCATGTTACCTTGATTTTGAAAATGAATGTATCTGTTGTCCTTTCAGAAAACCAAAATCGGACCTATAAATAGATATTAAGTCTTACTGTAGCACTGGTCTGCTATTAGAACTGCCAGAGAAGTGCAGTGTGACAACCTGATTATTGCCATGAGGACGTTATATTTGTAAATATATAATTTATCTGTGTTCTGCATGTATGAAGAAGAAAATCAAATGTAGGAAGAAGAAATACAGAATCAAAGGTTCCTAGGGATTAATCTTTCAATTTGTTGTGTATACTTAAAACTTGTTTGAATCCATTAAAAAAAAATTTTATATATATATGCCCATGAGAAATCTTGTAGTATTACAGTATACTGAGGGAATATTCGGGCATATTTGAAAAACTGAGTAAATACTCTGACTTGCTGAGACTCATCTGAAAGACTGAATTAACCATTGACTGTTTACTTCAACTTTTCTGGTTCTGTTCGTCAACACAAAAATATACTTGCTTACATTTTTCTTGCATAGCCTGAAAGCTCTTCACTTCAGCTGTGAGTTTAGGAGAGATGTCTATCAAGAGATGAATGCTTGCCAAGGATCAGAGGGAATTTTGATTTACCTTAAAATTAGAGATGACCTCCCAAATATGCAGTGGATTTGGCATGTTCAAAATGAGACTGAGGTCTTATTTGAATCGCGTTAGTAATTGCATTCAAACAAAACTTACTGTTTGTAGTGAAAGACTTGTGAGACTGAAATACAGTAAAAAGAGGGTTACCTCAAAATACTGGGTACAGTACTTTTGCTTAATCATGCTCCTTGCCCTACAACTTCATGACAGATGTCTGGAATGCAAATAAATTAATTGGAGTTTAGTTGGAAATAATATAATGAAAGGCATGTTGTTCTTCAGGCAGCACAGCAGGGGAAAGAAAGATGGATATGGAAACCCAGTTTCTTTCCTTTATTCTGACTGTGATTTGTAGTGCCCTGACCAGGAGGAAACCTTTGTATTCATTGTATTTCAATCCCAGTTCACCTCACAATAAGTAATTGGATGTATTTATTAAGAGGTGTGAGTGATGCACAAAAGCATTTTAGCCAAGTAGTCATGTGAAAATTCAGTGTTCCTAATGTGACACACCAGGAAAATTACACACGCCATCAACTCCCCACGAAACCTGTGACTGAAGAGAACAATTACTTGTTCATTTAGGAAAGAAATGTGAAACTGTCTTAAGCAATCACCTGCCTGAAGCAATGGGTCATGGAAAAATAATCACAACAACTTTCTAATAAAGGGGAAGCCAAAGTGAGCACATGGAACATGGGGCTAGGACTGGAACACACAATTATCCTGGCTTTTTATTTCTCTCTCTCTTCCCTGCCCCCATCCCCAGTCCTTCTCCCCTCCTGTAGTGGGGAATGTATATGGATTTTTCTGTTGTGGAGCTTGCTCAGCTAAGTGTGAGCGAAGTGCTGTGGAGGGGCAAGCTGAAAGCAGCTGTGTGGCCTGTTACCTAATACGGGAATCTTCTACAGTTTTTATTAATAAAATATTTGAAATTTCACAGTTCATTAAGACTCCAAAAAATTTATTGATGGTGGTGTTAATTCTTGCTCTTAGCTGAGCGGTAAGCCAGAACAAAGCTGGTGAACTGTAGCAGCATTGCAGTGATGGATGCTTCTAGTGGAGGCTTTTTATGTTGCAAAGGTGCTTAGGTGTCATCAGGAAGAGTGAGATGCTCTGTCACCTTTCTTTGTTGTGAAGAAACAGGATCTTTCTCCAAATGATAGGAATCAAGGTGAATCGTCAAGAATGCTGCATTATTGAGATGGAAATTGCAATATGGGACAGAATGAGCAAGAAAATGCACATATGGGCAGGTGGTCCAGGAGTTCCTACTCTTGGTTATATTTCTAGCCTGTCTGATAAGGTTAATTTTTCTCAAGTAAAAACATATTTGTTGGACTGCAAGTGGTCATATCATTGGCCTAAACAGGAAGGGATGAGTCAGAATTCTATTCTGATAGTTTTTGTGTCCAGCAGTTTTCTAGGAAATTTCATTTGGAGGATCAAAGGCTGCGTTTTGCAGACACTGAACACACAAAGCCTGCATTTATCTGTTTTAATTACGCATTTTTTTAAGTTTCATCACAGGACTTAATTTTTTTTTTTTTTATAGTGCTTCAGTATATAATCGGGTTAGGAAGCTGCAGATTTATAATGAAGTAGGAAGTAGCAATGTAATCATTTCAGCTGATTGTTTCCCTCGTGCTGCAGTGTATTAACTAAGTAATGCTTCACTTGGCTGTGCAGAGCCAATTGCATTCTCAAGGACATCAGGCATGCCTGAAGATGAGTCATTACCTTTGGTACAGCACAAGAGGTACGATATGCAGTCTCAGCAAGTGTTTGTCCATTGAAGTCGGTTAATAAACTCTAGCCCTCTCCCGTGGCAAGATGCCATAGATCTATCTTTTATGCATTCAGCAAACAGAAAGGCTGCAGTATCAACTGCCTCTGCAGTGTCATCCCTTTATTCCCATTTCTAGAGCGAGGTGTTAAACTGCAAAGAGATTTTTCACGTCCTAGACCTCCCCTTCCGCCCACTTCCTTGAGAGCATTGCAGAGGCAGCAGTCACAAGGGTGGCCCTTAAAACCAGGGAAGAAATACCACAGGGTTTTGCCTGAGTGACTGCAACCTCCTGTAGACTTCCTCAAGATCTTGAGAACCTATAAAATCTCAGAGCCAGCCCCTGGGAAATAACTTCCTCCCGGGGAAAATGGATGGGACCAGTCAGGAAAATTACGTGAGATTGAATTCTACAGTGTTTACCCTGCTATCACTTCTTATTTTTTTGTTGGCGGTAAAGCAACAGCTGGCAAAAGCAGTTTTTCCTGTATCAGGAGATTTAAAGCGGCTTTGGTGCCATTCCAAACCATACGGTGAAGGATTCCCTTTCCCTGACTCCTGCGGCAGTCCTCGGTGCAATGCCTGATCAGTCAGGCCACGGGCAAGAGGGAGCTCCCTTGTAATCGACAGAAGTTAATAGAGGAAGGTGTTGTGAAGCCTCCATGGGATAATGGTGATCACTGCACACTTTTAGTCTTGATATCATGAAAGAGTTGTTCCCTTAGGGACAACACAGTAACAACGCATTTTAAAAGGGCAGATTATAAAACAATGAGGAAAATGGTTAACAGCAGGCTGAAGGGCAAAGAGAAGTACTTAAAAACCATAGAGATCTGCCTGGAGGCTATTTAAGAACATTGTATTAGAGGCACAGATGGTTTGTATACCTCTGAGCAAAAACATAGCGTGTGAACAAGCATGAAATTCACAGGGTTATGTGGGAGAAAAGCGTCAGTATAGAAGGGTTGAAAACGCATGCCTTAAAAACGACAACTGTCTGAATGCAGACTGGGAAACATTAGCAGGAGAGTGGAAATTGCTGGAAAGTGTCAGTGCTAAGAAAAAGACTATAGCAGCTGCTGACTTTGGATCCCCAGGATGAAACAGCAAAAAGAGGGATTCTAATAATATCCTGAGCACTTTGCCTTTGAAAACTGGGCTCCTCCAGATGAGACTTCACCAGAAAAAACAAGGATGCTCTTAATCTGAGCACAAACCGAAATCTCAATAAAGCCAAAGCAGTCTACAGTTTTAATATGCAACTAGGACAAACTTAAGAGTAAAGGAGCCCATTCAAACTTAGTTTCTCTATGGAAGGACTTTTAATTTCATTTTGTGTTAGATTTAGTGACAAAAAATATGTTTTTAATCTTTGCCAAAGAATGTAGAGATAACAAAAAATGAAACACCCCTAAAAACTCTTAATTTTAGTAAAAGGAAAAAGTCTGCATTTGTTCTGGTACAGCTTTGGGCTGAGAGAGAGACTATCTGATAAGGATGTAGTGAGGTTTGCAGAG